GTGGACCATTTCTTACATTTCTTGTTTTAAAGAAAGGGTGTAGGAAGAGAATCAACATGGGGATGTAGGTGGATGGGCCAAACATTTCATACGTGTGGGATTGTTTTTGTGTTGTCTTTAGAAAATGATAACAAAAACTGCTCACATAATAATTTGGCTGTGATGAAGAGAAGGAGAATGAAACAGACAAATGGATGAAGGGAGAGACAAGCATGTGCCAATGCAGCTGGTATGAAGATGCTACTGATATTTTGTTAGCAAACTACAAAAGAATGAAAAGAAAATTCACATGACGACTTATTAAAATGTTATTATCGTTATGCTTTTAAATATGCAATGTGATCACTGTGTTTAAACACCCACACTCAGCTTCCTGCCAGAAATCTGTAGATAGCATCATCACACCTACATTTTAGATGAAGATTGCCAGTTAAAAAAGTTCCAATCCTTCTTTTTAATCCATCTTTTAGTAGCATAAGCCATTAAGGAGTCCCACTCTGGACTGTTAAACCCAAAATGGCCAGAGAGTTGCTATAAAAACAAAAAGTTTAACTTAAGGAATGGCAAAATAAATTCGGATTGTCTGAATATCTACAAGAAGAAAAACAGTCAAGAAAAGCAATATACATTATGTGAACATGGCAACTAACACATTGGCAGGGAGAATGAAAAAGACACAACCAGAAAAAAGACAGAAAGACAAGGGCAAAGGTAAAGAAAGACAAACAGAGGAACACACAAGGACAGAAGTAATCACACACCGTTTGGACCAGCGGTAGCAGGCCTGGCTGTGACCACAGCAGTTCATGCCAGGGATACGATGTCCGCCTGAGCGCTTATAGATCATCCCTTCCCTGGCAGAGAGAGAGACAACGGTTAAATATCTTTTGTAATATGGAATGTAAGGGAATTGTAAAACAAAACAGGATACTTGGAAGTTTGTAAATGAGTACACTTGGGATGGGATTTCAAGTTCAACCAGCACTCTGGTGTTTACTGCTTATTTACCTAACACAAGACTAAATGGGACTGTTTTTACAGATGGGAAGAAAAGGGGATTAAAAGAAGAGAAAATGCTCACAGTCCTTTGGGTCCCAAGTCGTGAATGAATGACATCTGGCTGACGTCAATGAACTCCATCTGAGAATAGACAGGAAGAGATAGCACAGTGACTCTTGTACAGACAGACAACAAAAACTTGATACATTCTGTACACATCGACATGGAACTGTGAGCAGGCAGCTATTACATCCAGACATAGCAGCCACCTGGAGGTAATGTGACTAAATTATTATGAGTTGTTTTTGTCAGTACAGCATAGGCACATTGATGTGATGAAACATAGTATTGGTCTGTTTTAAGGCTCATTTCACCATAAAGGTAAGATAAGTAGGTAAGGTTTGGTATACAAAAGGGTAAATATGTTATTGGCCCAAATATAAGAAGTCACCTCCCTATTTAACAACACCTGATTTGGGAAATGAGAAATAAGCAAAGATACTACATGTAACATGTTGTAAATGTATTGTCACATTAAATAAAAAGTAAATTTTTTTAAATGTAATTTCCATGTAAAAGAAACACTGTGTTATGTTTCTCACGAGAGTATCTTATATAAGCAGTAATAATATACTTAAATTCCTTGAGTGTGTCAACATAAAGCAGACACGGTGCTATGGGTAAACACATTAACAATCTGTGTCAACACTCCACTATGTTCCACTATGGAACAATGTTCCACCTTAAGGGTAGAGTGCAGTAAAAATCTGAAACACACTGTTATATTACTATTTATATCCACTTCTACAGCCCATCTCAGGTATCTACAGTAGCAGATATTCCACATCTATCTCATGCCGAGAGTATGATACACACACAATTAGTATTAACTTGAACACATAGATCGGTAGGCAGTCATTATGAGGTTATGTTAAAGAGACACAGTTTGCAGTGCTTAGTATGATTACTCACAGTATGGTGATATTTGCGGTACATGGCCATCCTCAGCAGCTTGTTCATATAGTCTTCTAATTGTCTCTGTAAAAACACATACACTATATTTTGGCCACTGTGAGTATTTTAATTACAAAATCTATGCATATAAACATTAACATGCGCACATATACACACACACACACACACACAGTCAGAGATGGGTTTTAGGGGATACATGTGCTGGCAAGGAGTTAAATGCCATGGCAACAAGCAAGTGCCATAAAGTTAAAACATGACGAGTGAATTTTCCAATCAGGAAAACGACAAAACTGAGACGTACCCTCCTGCTGGAGACCTGCTCATCTCGCACCAGCTCGTCTCCCCCTCCCCTCGGCAGGGAGGGCATCTCCCTCACCTCACTCTTCCTCACTGTCCTTCTCCTCACTGTGTGGCTGAGACAGAAAGGGAGAACATTTTTTAAAAAGTGTTCAATTAAAAAGTCCAAGATGCTTGAAGATGCTTTTACAGAGAGCACTTGTCAAATTGCCCAGTGTTTTAATACTTTGCTTTAAGGACAAAGCCCAAACAACATTTGGCTGTTTCTATTCAACAATTGCCCAATGCTAAAAGCCCCAAAAGCCAAAATTAAAATACATAATTCTGTGTACCTTCATGCCAGCAGGTGTTTAGACAGGCACATTTAAAAGCCTGAATAAATTGACGGTTTGCAGGTTGACTCACTGAGGTGTTTTATCAACCAAAGTGGCATAAAGGGAATTTTTTTAACTAAAAAGGGAGACTTTTTGAGGCAAAAAAACAGAGACAGGGAGACAGAAAAGGGGAGTAGGGCAAAAGTAAATCCTATTAAGAACCAAGGGCAACCTTCGTTTGTTTTCAAGTGTGTACATCACCAGAGAGAGAAAAACAGACAGGGAGAGGGAGGGGAAGGAAACTCTATGCAAATGTTGATAACTTATTAAAGTGGAAGATTAATATACTGCAAGCTACAGATTGACATTTTGGGATATATGCTTGCCAAGATTTAGATGAGAAGAATGATACCATGTCTGCCATACTATATATTAGGCTAGAGCCAGGAGGCAATTAGCTTAGCTTAGCATAAAGACCAGAAGCAGAGGGAAACGGCTAGTCTAAATAATACATGCACCACCACCACCCCTAAATCTGTCTTGTTTGTTTAATCCATACACAAACCGAACTGTAAAAATGACAACTGGTGGTTTTAGGGGGGAATTAGGTGCTGGAACCATTTCTGAACACAGTGACTTCCTGGAGACATCCCGGTTGCCTGGCAACTGCTGCCGCATTCACGCAATGCTGGCAAAATGTGTATAACAGGAAAATGCATTATTCCAAGATAGTTATTGCTAGTGTAGTCTTGCGGTTAAATTAATTAGGTTAAGTGAATTAGCTACTTTTGTTTGTTTGATGTATTTGTAGCAGTATGTTCACAAATGAAACCAGATACAAACAAACTGTTCTTGTAATTACAGTCCATTATCACAAGAATGTGGCTTGGCCTGGCAGCTGGTCACCAAGAAAACCACTTGTCATTTGTTTAACATGTTAATAAGTGAAATTTACACTAATGTGATCTTTTTAAACGTTGGACAGAGCCAAGCTAGGTGTTTCCCTTTGTTTCCAATCTTTATGCTATGCTAAGCTAAGCTAAGCGGCTCCTAGTCCCATCTGAATATTTGATGTATAGGCACGAGAACAGTATTGATCTCATCTAACTCTTGGCAAGAAAGCAAATACGTTTATTTTACTAAATGTAACATTATTCTTTGAATATGTTAATCATATTCAGTGTGTCTATGCACCTGTATGTGTGTGTGTGTGTGTGCGCACATGTGTTTGTATCATACTCACGCTGTGGGGAAAGAATCTGTTCACAAAGTAAACTAGTGGGAACTCACCTCCCAGGTGGGGACAAAAAGCTATTCGCCACAAGATAACCCATTTAGTCATAGGATTTTAGGTTGATACTAGGGTCAATCTCCAGTCAGTGTAATGTGAAAAACAAGTGTGCATGTGCGTTTGTATATACATCTAAACTTGTGTCTGTTAGTGTTGCTGGTGCAGGACTGTAAATCTGTGCGTTTGTGTGTGTGTGTGTAGGCACCAACCTGCGTGATGGCAGCGGTATCCGCATGAAAGTCTTGTATGTCCTCAGCTCTCTGTGCAGCTCCATGAAATGTTTCTCCTTCCTCTTAACCACCCAGGTAAACTCACCGTGCTTCAGCTCAATCCTGAACACTGCTGGCAGAGACTACACACACATACACACACACACACAACACATTGAGGGAAGGGTAGCAGGGAGTTTTGAGATGATGATGATGAGCTTAATATATATTATGGCAAACATTGGGTTAGAATTGTTTTAGTTGCTTTAGAAGTGGTTATTTTAAAAGCAAAAGCTTCTGGTGCCTTTATTGTAATAGTGTGTGCTTGGAGTACCTTGTTGACACTCCTGTGGTGCGACAGGTTGAAGCGGTCTTGCGCTGTGGTGAATCTCTCCACCTCCAGGATCCGGGCAGTGATGGGCACAGTGGGGAGGTAGACCTTAGCATTGGCCTCCTTAAAGCCCACTGTGGCATACACCGCTGAGAATGGAATACGACAGTCCCCTGGAAGAGAGAGAGAGGTGGGTGGTTAGCGTGGTTTTTCTGGTTATGCATGGAGTTGTTCAGGCCGCTTGGGAGCACTGAAATCAGACTTTTTATGTTTGCAGTGTAAGGTTAAATGTTTCTGTTTATTCTCCAGTAAGGTTTGTGAGATCTAAATTATGTAAAGGAAAACTTATTGCTTTGGGCTTATATGGCAAACCTTGCTCATGAACAACAAATCTGGTTCATAGTTAAGTTAAGTTTAATCTCATGTCACCAGAAACACAGACTGCTTTGTTCAGTTTTAATTGGCTTTTCAAGTATTCCTCAGTCAGATTTATTGTGTTTAAAACAATATTATAATTATTTTTAGGTATTATCTTGTTCTGGGGAGGAATGGTGGTGAAATCACACCTAAGTTTCCATCATAGTCGATCTCCTCTCCCTCCCCCATGTCCAGCTCTCTGGTATCCAGGCTCTCCACAAGGTCGGCCATCTTGATACCGTCGTGTGCGTCCGGGGCCGCCGTGGTCTCACAAACTTCCGAGTTCACCAGGTTGAGGTTACTGGTCGTGGGCGGAGCCTTACCCAGCATGCTCAGAAGTTAGACCCCAGAGCAGGGCGAGCCTAGAAGACAGAGGAGATGATAATTTCACATTGTATGCATGTGGGTTTGCAGGTCTTTGTCCATGTTGTAAGCTGACTGTTTCCTGAGTCTCTTAAGAACAACCGTTTTTAAGCTCTTTAGTAAACACACTCAAAAAGACAGACACATACTCCATAGACACCGCTGTGACAGGTTTCAAGGTCACATGTGACCACCACTCTCAACACAGCAGCACTGTGAAACTCCATAAACGCCATTATTCCGAAACATATTCACTCACTTGGTGTTTTGATGATGGTGGCAGAGAACACATATGATTCATTTTCATGCTCATTAAATTATTTGGTGACCCCTAATAGCCTGTCAGAAGGCATCTGCATGTGTTATGTTTCTCCCCCTGTATTTTCTTATTGTGTCCTAATAGACAAACAATTGTGTAACTATCATCAATGGATTTAGGATAACAGTCTATTCAGTATTCCGTCAGTTGCAATTTTTCTCATGTAGCAGGAAAACAATGTTGAAATGCCCCCTTATGAATGTTCCGTCCAATATCACATCAGTCCTGGGTGCAGAACTTCCAGTATGATTTTGAGAATGATTAATATAGTTGGAAGGAAGTCATGATGAAGGCCAGCAGAGCCAAAACATCTCTGTAAATAAAGGATTTTCTGAATAAAATGTTGCAGCCATCTTGTTTTAGTGGCAATTATGACTGAAACAAAATTGTCAGTAGTTCAGTGATTCAGTGGTTGATTCTGTGCTACCTTGGCATTACACCATTACTGAAGTCACGCATACCCAGAAGTCATGCGACCCAACCCTAACCCTCCCTTCCACTCCAGCACCTATGAAGTGTTGATACATTTCTTTGGAAACCATTGCTAGGTAACACATGTTACTCACTACTTCTTCATAGACATTCCTACAGTAAGAGGTAACCTACTTAAATCCAGTTAATGACAACTAACAGCCTGACTGAATTTAGTTGTTCATTACTGACACACACAATGAATGACATAAAGAAAATCAGCTGTTGGGCCAACTCCCGGTCCCGGTTATCATGAGTTTAATGACTAATCATGTACTCACATACTGCAAATGAACATTTGTGTTACTTCTTCATAGTAGAAATTCAGTCTATTGCCGCTGCTCAATATTATTAACTTCTCCATTGACTTTGAGGTTTTGTGATTTCCATCTGTCAAACACTGGACTGTGCATCAGTGTTACAGGCTGGGTGAAATTTTTTAATAAAAATTTTTGGCATTTCAAGGTTTTTGTGCAACAGATACAAAAGCTCAGAATTACACAGGTTTCAGACAGAGCGCCAGACTTCAGACATTAAAAGCCTGTATTACATTGATTTTGGCCAAACTGCTGATACAAAAATTTGTATCTCTTACTTTTTGTCTCACCTTGAGTTATTTGGTCATTATCAGTGCAATAACATTTTCAGTGCCTGCAGTGGCTGTATGCCTAGAGGACTGAGGATCCTCTTTTGAATTAAAGTTTATCAAAAGAGAATTAAAAATACATCATCTACATTATGACAGGGTACAAAGGTTCCAAATAAAACGGTTGTAAACCACTGTATTACTGAATCTTAACTTATCATGGTGCATAGCAGTCGCCTACAGAAAGGGTCTTGCACCTTATGACGGGCAAGTAGTCAAATCTAATCCACTCCTCCAACTGGATCTTCCTTTCACAGGCTCCTACATTCTGATCGGTATGTCTCCCCACACCTTCAGGCACGTTTCTGTCTTTCTTTGAAGTTTGATAAAACCTCAATTGTGACAGCCTTACCAAATATTACTTCATAAATTATGTGATATGGTATTTTGTCAAAACTGTGCCAGGGAGTGACTTTATCTGACTGCACCCACAGGAGTGGAAGTTGGTGATGAAACAATTTTAGTGATGTTGAGTAAAAACCTGACAAAGCTGGGCATTATTACACACGCTCATTCATGCAGTCAACCATACACCCCAAAGTTACTTATAAAAATTGCATGCACCTACACCTGTGAAGCCATGCTACATTAACATACCACTAGTTACAGCGCTGATGCATGAAACACACTAAACAGTTTTCACACAGTTCAGTGCAAAGTCAAAATACTGCCATTCTACACTTAATAGGCAAATATTTGCAGCATGTATACACGATGACACACAGCCCGCTACATCTTGTCATGTTTAATAGATGTTTACTTTGAGCAAATTACCATGGAGACACAGCTCAGTTGTGTGTTTTAGTTTCACTATTACCTCACCGATACACATGGCTGAGAACGCGGGTTCAATTTGGTATAACAAACACTTGAAAAGCCAAAAACCTGTTATACCGGTTAAACTCTTGCATGTTATGTGCTTACTAACACTGCTGATCTAATTTCATTTTTGAAAAAAGAAATCTAACAAAGTAGACCCATACACACACAATACCACCAAGCAGGATGTTTAGTCATCCAAGACAAGCCTAAGCATGTGTGGCCTATTAAAAAACGTCCCTCTGAGTCTAGACAAAGTAAAAAAGAATAGGAGAGGGGAAGAAAGGAAAGAAGAAAGGGAGCACTTGACTCAGCAGAAAGCTTTCATTAAAGGAGTTTTTGATTCTGCGCACTCCCTAACTGCAGTACATCACTGTGGATCATTGTCCTGTACTCCATGTTGAACCCCCTTTCAACCTCTTTCCTGTCTAGCTTCTGCTCAAGTCCAAAAAAGAAAAAAAAACAAACAAGGGCTGTTAGTTAAAATGATTTATTCTGTATAAACATGTAAAGTGATATGTGTGTTTACAAGCAGCGCTGCGGATGCCTCCTGTTATCACATCGTAGCTCATAGTGACCCAAAATGTATCTGAAAAGATGAGCAGAACGTTGTTAAAAATGTTGATCTGACAGCATTTTGATAAAAGCAGACATAAAGCAGTGACTAATAAATAAACATCCTTTGTGGACAAGAACCAAAAGGACTGACTGGACATGCGGCCTAAAGTTTCACCGATAGCAATTACACAGCCGTGACACAGAGGTCAAAAGTACTGTGATGAGTGTAGCAATGATGCATATGATATTCATGTAAAGTTGTAAGAGGAAACACTGAGGTACTGTGACGGGAGTTGAATTTACTCAGATTTAACTCCGCGCGTTATTCAAGAAAGGTCCGGTGCTTGGACAAGGAGCGTCTGATCTGCCCCTTAACAACCTTTAGGCGTTTAAACGAGCTGGACTTTTATTGACACATGATTACAACGTTGGTCTAGTTTAGTTGGAGTTTCGTGTCAGACGCTACATCTGAAGTTGTGTTTTCCTCGTTCGGTAATATTCAGGATTTTAGGAGCGAGTCCTTTTAACAATACCACCCGGGTGTAAACTGCACACCCATCGGGGGCCAACGTGACCATATACGTAGCGGTTCTCTCTTTTACGGACTCTTCTTTTATGTTATTTATATTATAAAAGAAGTATATGTGATATAATTGAATATAACTGTGGTAAATTTCCAAGATTATAGTAGTAAATTAACGGGGAAAAAATCTCAGATTATCTGAATATCTCAAACTGATTCATTTACATGAATGTAAAACTGCTCTATGCCTGAAATCAGGCATGATGCCTGAAAACTTAAAGCCCTAGATTAAAATCTACTCCCTAAAGTTTCACACAGGTTGAAGGCAATCTGTGTGAATGTAATGCTACTGTTAGAATAAGTGTACAGTCAGTTGCACCATTCAACCTCTGGATTAAAGTGTTCTGTATACAGGCCTCATCTATGCATATTAAAAAGTATTTTTATATTGGGAATTACCTGCAACAATAAAAAACCTATATGATCTTTATAACGATTAAATGGGAACATAACAAAAGCATTCTGGCCCTAGAAGCTGGCAAAGACGGAGGGTAAATTGCCATGACAATTTATCTACCTTTTGTAGCACGATTTACACTTAAATGTCTTACACACCCAATGTCACTGAGTTAATCCGGTTTGGTAGTACAGGCCTCAGGTTTCTAGAACTTTCTCTCTTGGGCAAGTCAGGGCAGGAACAAAAAAAATGACTTAGTTATCTGTTTCTTAACAATTAATGGAGACAATCTAAATCTCTCTCTCTGAGACTTACAGGTGGTTTACCTTTAAGAAGTTTTCACTGACTACTGTAGATTCATTTCCTAACATAAGCTCCCTGTAACGCCTACATTTAACATCATCAAGATCGTGATCTGCTCAAGTGAGAAACAGGTACCCAGCATTTCCTCCCCTGCAAAGTGCCAAATTCTTCTGTTTGGAGCTAAAAATGTCCGTGACAAGTAAATAACACATGAGCACGTACACCAACAGATGACAATCTTGACAGTAAACATTCCCACTCCATTGAACAAGATCCAACATGCTCACATAGTCAGAAGAGTCACCATCAGCAGTCATCAGTTGCCTACAGTGAGTGCATGTCTGTGTTTCCTCTTGTCCCTGTGAAACCTTCCGTCTCTTCATTCATTCATTCATTCATTCAATGAATTTTTTTTAAATAATTTAATTATAATAAATTTTTATAATTAATTTTTAATTTTTTTTTTTTTTCATGAGTAAGGATGCTTATGTTAAATGTAAAAATTGATTCAGATTATTTTACTATGGGATTTTATTACAATTAATGATTATTCAAAATCACAGTCATTAGCATCAATAATTCGAGGAACAAAATAATTAAACTCCTTTACTGGTGTTTTCATTTGCATGTTTTATACTGCTCTATACCATTTCAATACCCTTAAGCACTAGTTCTAGTTAATTTGCCAACAATCTATGTTAAGAAAAACATAAGCGGAAGAATATTTACAAAAGCAGTGTTTTTGCATTCCTAAGCAAAGTTTGTCCATGTTTGTCCATTAATGAGTCAGCAATGGCTCTAAAGAGAGGTTGCTTTGCTTAGTCACATTTTGTACAAGGCCAAAGGTGTGGAAAAGGATACTGCACACAGCTACGAATGGTGTTACGTCTAAATTAGTTAATC